CCCTCATTCCATGAGAGGGAACTTTTCTTACCTGCTCGACTCTGCTCACTTACAACTCTCCCACAAAGCCATGCCCAGAGCTTTCCACTGAATTTAGGATGAAGTGTGACTCTCTTCAGGACCTTAGGCCCTCACAATCAGCCCTACCCCCTCATCTTCTGTACTGACAACCACGCCCGAGGCTCTGGGAGGAAGGGAAGGGGCAGCAAGAATCCCAGCTACCAGCCGATCTGGTCCAGGTGTGATGTATAATTTGTCCTAGACATTGTAACACACCTTGAAGGGAAATGAAACCCAGCTTACCATTGAGGGACACAAGGTCTCAGGGCATCAGAACAACCTCTGAGCAGGCACCACAGACAGCAGAAGGTATTCCATATACAAGAGTCTAAGCCAAGGCGGAGAGAGGGGAAGGCTAGACGTCCAAGGCCAATGAGCAGGGAGACGCTAGGACCAGGGTAAGATTCAAGCTAAGGTAGCCATAGACCACACGCACAGATGCCCATAATGACTTTGAAAGATTGCATGGCTGGGATTGAAGCCTTCAGGGCTGAGGGGAGGAGAGGGGTTGTACCCTTTATGCATTGCCATCAGCCAGGTTCTCCTGTGACAGCTTCAAGCTAGAATCGTAAACATGGCACAGGGTCTGACACCCTCTCCCCATGTTCCTTCTCCCCGCTTCTCCCTGCTTACCCCTCCGCATGTGTCTGCTGCCCCAGCACAGATGGATGCTTTTCCCATCGCTGTTTCCCACCAGCAATATAAATCAAACCACCACAAGCTTCTCGTTTGTTTTTGCTTGTTTGTTTCCATTTTTTAAGATTTATTTTAGGCCGGGCGGTGGTGGTGCACGCCTTTAATCCCAGCACTTAGGAGGCAGAGGCAGGTGGATTTCTGAGTTCGAGGTTAGCCTGGTCTACAGAGTGAGTTCCAGGACAGCCAGGGCTACACAGAGAAAGCCTGTCTCAAAAACAAAAAAAGATTTATTTTAGGAGTATGAGTGTTTTGCCTACATGTATGTATGTGTACCACATAAGCCCACAGAAGTCAGAAAAGGACATTGGATACCCTGGAACCAGGGTTGTAGACAGTTGTGAACCACCATGTGGGTGCCGGGAACTGAACTCAGGTCCTCTTCAAGAGCAACAAGCCTTAACTTCTGAGCCTTCTCTCCATTTCAGGGCCTCCCTATTTGGATGGGCCCAAGACCTCACTGCTACCCTCAAGTCCCATGGGCCTTGCAGCCAGCCCATTCTCTGCACAGTGTCTTGAAATCTCCACAGAGGGTGGAAAGAGTGAGAGAAAATTCTGTACATCTTTCTGTTATGCTTGAAGCAAGTTAGAGACACGTTTCAAGCATGTAAAAATGGGACCATTGTGATCCTTACTTACAGATGTGAAAACTGAGGTATGGGCATACCCAGATCTGCCAATTACTTACAAAATTCCTTTAGTGGTTAGGAAGCAGGAGGATTGTGCATGTGTGGATTTGAGGCCAGCCTGGTCTGCCAGTGAGATCACACATCGATAAATAAATAAACAAAACCCTGCCAAGGTTGCCAGTGCTCTTGGGAAACAGGAGCATATACCTGCAAGGCCCTACAAAGCCTCTACGTAATACTGTGTTTGTATATGATGAAGGGGACACACAGGTACCATATCGCAGCAGTCAGAGGATAACTGTGGAGCTGACTCTCTCCATCTTTACATGGGGCTGGCAGCAGCACAGCAGGCTGCTGGACACTGAGTGCACACAGGGCTCTGAAGGGTTGTTACTGTTCAAGGCAAGGCAGGGAGGGCAGTGAGAGGGTGGTGTGTGGAGCCAGCTCCGAAGTCTGAGGGGTCACAACCTTATACATTTCAACAGGGTTCAACCCCTCAGCAGCTGGTAAGAAGAAACCCTAACCTAGGGATACCCTTCATGGTGAGCATCTAGTTACCTGCAGCCCTAACTACTTCAGATGGCCGTCACTGTCACTGTAACCTATGGCCGTGCCTAGACCACTCAGTGTCTGTCCAGTCTATGGAAGGGGCTAGAATAAAGCCTCCATGCCAAGATGTGATGTTAACAGGTTAGAGTTAGCTGAAGACAGACAGAGCCCTTGTGGAGATCAACTTCCTTATCAGAAACCTCAGAGCTCTTGCTCAGTCCTCCCACATGTGAGGACAAGGCTGAGAGCAACCACTCTGAATGAGGAAGCAACCCTCATCAGACCCCAGATCGTGCACACTCTGAGCTCAGACTAAAGCCTGATGTCCCTGAGGATAAACACTAGCGTGTAAAACACCCAACAGACAGCCTTTGTGTTACAATGTCCTAGTCTGAAACAACACTGCTTCCCTCGACAGTCTCAGTGTCAAGATCCTTCCAAAGCTTCTCCTTCACTACAGATCTGAGCCTTCCAGTCTCCCTCCTCTGGTGTCCAACAAGCACTCAAATAACCGCCATCCTCCAGGCACACACTGGTGCACACCCAATCGCAGCACGGAGGAGGCAGAAGTGTATGGGTCTCTGTGAATTCAGGACACGCCAGTCCCTTCTCCCTGCAGGTCCCCCAGACAGACATATCTCACATTCATTTTAGTTCCTATCTCCCCACCATCCCCATGCCAGCTCCATGAGAGTATGACTGTATCTGGTTTGGCCATGGTAGAGTCCTCGGAACTTAAAACAGAGCCAGGCTCCAAGCAGGTATCAGTCACAACATACTAAACAGACAATGAGCAAACATGCATAACAAGACTGAAGAGCCATCCTCACCTGCAGCCTGGCCAGGAGCTGATGGTAGTGAAACAGGGTACAGAAGTCCACATGTGCTGAGAAGGCCTCCAAAGCTGCTTTCTCTGCTGGGCTGGAGTGGAACTCCTGGCACCCAGAAAGAAAACCCAGTTAGGCCTCTCTCCTCTTCCTCCGGAGGAACACTTTCATGGCAACCCACGTACAGGATGAGAATTCTGGGCTTTTAAATTTGTATTTAAAAATTGATTTGGTCAATTGTACAGACCCAGCATAGCACAGGGAAAGGAGAAGTCTTCAGGATCCAGAGGCTCAGCACCTGCTTGGCTGCTAACTGCACATCCACAGAATGTGTCGTCTGTGGCAGCTGCTCTTCCTTATCAGAACACCATCCTCCAGAGAAGGGAAGGGACGTATGGAATTAGAACCTCAGTTTTTCAAAATGGGAAACTGAGGTTCAGTGAAGTAATTTCTGAGGGTCATGATGGGCCCATCTGTCTCCAGGGAGAATTTCACTTATCACATATGTGTGTGTTGATTGCACATATGTGCAGTACATGTGTGCCTAGTGCCCGGAGAGGTCAGAAGAGGGTACTGGATCCCCTGGAATCAGAACTGTGGGTGGTAATGCGTTATCATGTGGGTGCCAGAAACAGATCCTGGGTCCTCTGCAAAAGTAACAAATGCTCCTAACTGCTAAGCCGTCTTCTCAGACTAACTCAAGGAAATTTTTTTAAAAATATTTTTATTTATGAGTACACTGTAGCAGTCTTCAGACACACCGGAAGAGGGCATTGGGTCCCATTACAGATGGTAGTGAGCCACCATGCTGGGAATTGAACTCAGGACCTCTGGAAGAGCAGTCAGTGCTCTTAACCGCTGAGCCATCTCTCCAGCCACTAGGGAAATTTTTTGCTGAGATTGTTTATGCTCAGATGTATGCAGATGTATATAAAATCTAGCACAGGACTTGTTATTCACAGCAGGCGTTCAATAAATAACTATTATATTAATGATTATCTTCCTTCAATGATCGTGGGATAAGAGCTCAGCTATGGAACAGACAAGGGATGAGGTAACAGAAGAAGCTCAAGTCCAGAGCTCATTAGGCATCTCATCTTGGAGCTCTTTCTAGCCCCTGCAGTCCAACTTTCTTGCACCCACTAGGAACGCCTAAGGAACCAGAAACTACAACTCCCAGGAGGCGCTAGAACAGTCCTCAAAAGCAGGTAAAGTAGTGCAGCCTCGAGGTCGGCTGGAAACTGTAGTCCCTAGGTTCTTAGACCACTGATGGGCGGTACCTGTATCAGGAGGCGGAGCAGCTGCTCCTTGGAGAATGGAATGAAGCGCTCGCGGTACTGCTGTGCCCAGTCGCAGGGCTCCTTGGGGTTCCACATCTTGCGGTACACCCCCATCCTGTTCTCCAGGGACGACAGAGCCCGGGAAGTCCCGAGGAGAGCAGGCACCAGGGACCATACTCGGGCCTTGGACCCCCAGGTCACGTGCAACATGGCCTGCCCCTTTTCCCAGAGCCTAAACATAAGCATATGAAGGGGACGTCAGAGGTCAATTTGGAGGTATTACCTCCACACACCCTTCCCTTCTGGGACAGTGTCTACCCAGTCTCCCTTCTTCTAATCCTTTTCCGTTTCTTTCTACACTGCACATTTAGGTTGGCTCCAGAGTAGAGTCAGAGGTCGTAGTTTGGAGTATCTTGCAGGCCCAGGGACCCTGTAGCGGTACAAATGGTCTCTGAGAAGCTTAAACAACAAGGTGGATCTCAGGAGTGTTAAAAAAAAAATTAGGAAAAGCTGATAGCGGGTGCTGGGCCGTCCTTCCAGGGCCATGCAATCCCCCACCCAGCCCTCACCTTAGCCAACGCATGACTGTCATTGAGCCTGCGCATGTGCAGTAAGAGGTCCTGGGCCCAGAGGATTGGCTTTAGCAAGCAGTAAGACGCATGCGCAGAGCCTGGGCTTTTGAAACCATTTTTTAATAGCTTTTATCGTAACTGCGCATGCCTCACCGCTAGTCCGGGTTTTGTTTTTTTTGTTTTTTTTTCTTTTTTGGTAATTCGCATGCGCCGAAGACTGTCTCCGGGTCCGCTGTTTGGAGCTGGGTCCGGCCCTCGCGCGCGCCGGGCCAACGGCGACCCGCCCAACGTCTACCGAGACCACGCCCTTTCTCTGGTCAGTTCGGATAGGAGGCAAGGAAAGGGGTGGGACTTGACCGCAGCCAATCACCTGTAGAGAATAGAAAAGGCGGGAAAAAGAGGAACCAAAAGGAGGCTAGAGGTGGCTCCCGGGAGCAGAAGAGGAAGCAGGCAAACAGAAGAGTCTGTCTCCCCGTGACGAGTGCTGGTCCTCGGCCCTCGGAAAATAGGTGGCTCTCTTCAGCCAGCGTCCCTCTGGGCAGCACTTCTGCCCCCACGTCCTTAGAAGGGAAGCCCCTAGTCTAAGAAGGTTACCCCGACTCTCATACTGAGTGGCCGCTGATTTCCGAGGCTTCAGTCTGAGACAGTATGTCATCCTGAGACAGAGCTGAAGCCTAAACAAGACTCGTGCTACGGAAAATTACCCAAGTTAAGGAACACCTCAAATATTCCTGGGCTCTTCGTGGTCTTCTATACCTAGGGGTAGCTACATTCCCTCAAGGACCAGTCTACAGCCCCCTCACTAGCGTCCCATGTCCTGGGGTCCCTAACCCCACTGTCTCATGCCCCCACTCTGAGGGCCCAGCAGACCTGCCACCTCTTATCACCCTCATCCTGGATTTCCAAAATCCAGGGCCCTCAAGAACCCTCTGATCCCCTAATCGACACCTGAGACCTCTCTGATAGCCCTTCAGCCTACATTTCTAACTCCTGGGACCCGAATCAACCTTTCAGCTGTGCTCCCACTTCCAGACCCTCCCACATGCCCTACCATCTCTTACCTCCAGCACCTAGGACCACCCAGCAGCTTGTCACCCTATGTTCCTCACAACTGAAAACTGGAGCAGCCAGCCCCTTCACCCCATTCCCTCGGGGCCCTAACAGCCCTTCAGCCCATCCACCCCCACCCAAGCCTGGGCCAGTACTCCCCACTCCCAGCACTTGGACTCTGACACTCCCATTCCTGTTTTCTTGCAGCAGCTGAGCCCTGTGGTGGGTCTGAGGCACACAGGCAGTGGTGCCCAGAAAGCAGCACCCAACACCCCTGCCCCTACCTCCCAGAACACCCAAAGAAGAGCAGACGCTATGCACCTCCCTGAAAGCCTGCAGGACCTGGCAGACAGTGAGACTGTGCGCTTTCTGAGGAGACCAAAGAGCATCTCAAGGATCTTCGGAGGGGTGAGACCCTAGGGGTCACGACACAGGAGACACCCAGGAGCAGGGGGAGGGGTCAGTGTGGTCAGACAGGGAGACAAGCAGACAGGAGCCCAAAACTGAAGCTACCTTTTACTGAGCATCTGGTCACTAGCCATTGTCAGCATCAACCAAGTCATCACAAGATTGTGCCCAAGTCATCCTCAAACCCGGGCACAGTCTGTAACACCAGCACATGAAAGACTGAGGTAGGAGAATTGTCACAGGTTTGAGGCCAGCCTTGGTTACAATGTTAAAAAAACAAGTGAAAAAAGAACCCTTCAAAGGAGAAGAAAAGCCGGGCAGTGGTGGCCCACACCTTTAATCCCAGCACTTGGGAGGCAGAGGCAGGCGGATTTCTGAGTTCGAGGCCAGCCTGGTCTACAGCGTGAGTTCCAGGACAGCCAGGGCTACACAGAGAAACCCTGTCTCAAAAAACAAAAACAAAAGGAGAAGAAAAGTAAAGCCTCCTCCCCCTACAAAGCTCATGGTTTTGCTAAACGGCCTCACTGTTTGAAGACTGCTTGTCCAGTGGGGTAGCCACAAGCTCCAGGAGCTACTCCAGTTCCAACTCACTGAATTCAGATGGGCTATTCTGCAGTCATGGTGGTCATATTTCGGGTGCTTAGTTGCCACAGGTGCCTTGTGACTCTCCAGCTGGACAGCATAGATTCAGGACACTTCATCACGCCAGGAAGTTCCATTGAACAGCATCCACTAAAATTAACACAGGGAAGAGGGCAGTGCCACTCAGTTCTAGGAGATACTAGGATCCATCCATTTTCTAATTCTCAGGTGGGGGAGGGAAAACAGGTTCTGAGACCTGTTTTTAAAAAATCATAGATCTGGGAAAACAGTATGCACTGGGCCCAGGCACCAGATGTAGTCACTGTGCCAGGTGTGATGCCAATACTCTCTGTGTGTCCTCTCATCACTACCATACTCCCAAGGAACCTGGACACTGAGAGCAAAGTCCTCATTCAGCCCACTCATGCTGTGTAACCTTGGGAGGGAACCAGCCACTGCCCCTCTCTGAACATCAGTACAGGAGCTATGTGTCTATGGGCTTCGACCTACACTGCTTCTTTCTCCTTTTAAAGATTTTTAAAGTATGTGTATGTGAGTGTGTGCACCTCATGCATGTAGGTGCTGGTGGAAGCCAGAGATCAGGTCACCTGCAACCAGAGTTGGAGCCACTTGTGAGCAACCTGCTGTGGGTCTTAGTTACTTTCTATTGCTGTGAAAAGATACCATCACCAAGGCAACTCAGAGACGAAGGCATTTAATTGGGGGCTTGCTTGTAGTTTTAAACGGGGAATCCATGACCATCATGGCAGGGAGCAAGGCAGCAGGCAGGCAAGCATGGCGCTGGAGCAGAGGCTGAGAGCTTACGTCTTATCTGCAAGTTAGAGCCAGAGAGAGGGGGCGGGGGAGGGAGAGAGAAGAGAGAGCAAACTGGAATGGCATAGGCACTTGAAACCTCAAAGTTCACCTCTAGTGACACACCTCCCCCAAAAGGCCACATCTCCTAATCTTTACCAAACAGTTTCACCAACTGAGGACCAAGCATGAGCTTGGCCAATGTGTGGTGGCACACACCTTCAATCCTAGCACTATAGAGGCAGAGGTAGAAGGATCTGCCTGAGTTCGAGGCCAGCCTGGTCTATATAGCAAGCTTCAAAACAACCAAAAGTAAATTAGAGAGACCTTGTCTCAAACAAACAAACAAACAAAACAATCAAACACATGAGCCTGTGGGGATCATTATCATTCAAACCACCACACACAGTAAACTCTCTTAACCACTGAACCATCTCTCGAGTTCCTGCCCACACACACCGTTTGATATCTGGGGTGTCTTTTGCTTGTCTTTGTTGTTCCAGACAGGGTCTTAATTTGTAGCCTAGCCCAAGCTAGCCTTGAATTCACAATGGTCCTCCTGCTTCAGCCTCCCTGGGTACTGGTATGAGCCACCATGCTCAGCCAGCCTGTGCTAGTTGTGTTGTTACCCCTAGACAGAACTGACAACTGAGGCGATGACAGATCGGATAGGGTTGTGGGAGCAAGAGCAACCCTCTGACCTGGTTCTTCAGGGACAGTCTCTAGGAAGTCAGTGATCATCTCCTCCTCCATGGGTAAAACTCAGAGAGTGTCTTCTCTCTGTCCTCTGGAACAGAGACCAGACAGGACTGGCTTTGAGGTGTAGCCTAGCCATGTATCCATTAGAGGGACATACTACCCTATTGGCTGTGCTGTCTCCGGCATAACCACCACCAGCAGCAGCAGCACCTTTCATTCCCAGAGATGCCCCTTTGGCTCAGTAGTTTACATGGTCAGACTATACCTGTGTGACCTGAAACATCTTCTCTGAACCTTTGTGTCCTCCTCTGGACCCAGAGAGTCCTAATACTGCCTCCTGGGCAGGACTGCTGTGAAGATGAAACAAGGCAGTACATAGACTGATTATTGGGGGCTGGCATGTGCCGAGCTCTCCTTAAATAGCAAGCATTGTCCCTGGAATAACTCTCGACTGTGAGGGAAGAGAGGGTTGGAGGAACCTGGCATGGCTGGGACTGGTGCCACACTGTCTCTCTTCCTTGTGAGAAAGGAATTATGACTGCCACACACCAGTCTCTGGTGCCTTCTGTCCTCACCACAACCTATGACAAGGACATATTTGTATAATCCCAGGAGAATCTGAGACTCCTAGAGGTTGATTGGTTTGTCAAGGTGACTCATTTGATGAAGGAATCAAACTCAGATCCACTCACTGGAAACAGTGCCTGGGAAGCAGAGGCAAGGACAGGGGAGCTGGGAGCCCAGGTGGTGTGGCCCAGTGCAAGCTGAGGGAGAGGCAGCCAGCCATGCCAGACCTTATGGTCACAGATTTTGCCCATGCTGCCATCTCCCTCTTCCACCGTCCTCTTCCTTCCCCTGGCCTGGTTCCTTAGTGGGCATCTCTGGGCAGCTGGTGTTCATGTACTCCAGCCGCCTGCCAACCGGTGCCTTAACTCATGAATCTTTGCTCTCTCCCTGGAGACAAGCCAGGGAAGGTGCAGAAAAGAGACTGGACACAGGCTTCAAAGAAATAGGACCCCCAGACAACTGATGGCCTTCCCCACATTCCAGTGCCCCAGGGTTTACCACAGACAAACAGCCCCTGGGGCCGGAAGTCAGGAGGACTGGGCTTAAACCCCACTCTAGGGTAGTTAACATTAACTACTTCTTCCTCCTAGGTGAGTTCTGAGAACCTTCATTGTCCTGAGCACTAGGCCTGAGCCCCCACTGAGAAACTAAGGTTCCAAGGTGTGAGTGACTTGTTCAAGCCCACACAGCTTGGCTGAATCAGACACATGGGGCCTTTTCTACTGCTCTGTGATGTAGAATTATCAAAAGTAGAAGTGAATTCATAACACTCCCTTTGTGGAGTGGTGCACAGTTCCAGGGAGGACGCTCAGGTGGAAGGGATATGAGCTGAGAAATGACTGAGGTGCCTCCTCGACTAGTCTTGTCCTGGCATGAGCCATGTAAGGTACTTCCTCAAGATTGAATCGTTCACTCCCTGACCAGTGGTTGTCACCCTTCCTAAGGCTGCAACCCTTTAATACAGTTCCTTGTGTTGTGGTGACCCCAACCATAAAATTATTTCCATTGCTATTTCATAACTGTAAATTTGCTGTTATGAATTTTAATGCAAATATCTGATATGTAGGATATCTGATATGTGACCCACAGGTTGAGAACTGCCTGTCCCAGACTGTCTTACAGCCTTTCTTCATGGGTTTAGCCATAAAGTTCTTGGCAAGAAAAGAGACCAGTTACTGTGCTTATAAAGCAATTACTGCAAAGGAGAGGGAGGGAGGGACAAGACAAAGGCAAGGTATATTAAGGTCAGTCTTTCACCTCATACCCGGTACCAAAAGATGTGAAAAGACCAAGGGGCCAGAGTTATTCTTCACACTCATTTGCTGAGGCCTTACTTGCACTTGTGTGTGCAGATATACACAGACTCCTGCAGAGCCTATCCCCAGAGGTTCAAATTTTATCAAAGTGTTCACTTTTCTTTCTGCACAATTTCATTGCTTATAGTACAATCCCATCAATCACCGGATCCAGTTTTACATCCAAAATGTCTCTGAATTGCTCAGGGCTCTGATCTCCCTACCAACCTGTTCTGTGAACTTCTGCCTCACCCTTACCCCTTAGCCAGTCCACTGGCCACATGACCCCAGAGGACCTCTCTATCCTTGGGTCTGGTCCTGGCTGTCTTCTTAGAACTCCTCAATGCATGAGGGTTCAAATGAGGGGCTAGAGAGATGGCTCTTGCTCTTCCAGGGGACTCAAGTAAAACTCTAAGCACCCACATTTTAACTTTCACATCTTCTTAAAGCTGTTGAGGTCTTTGAGGGCTAGATCTCACCTACATGCCAGCTTCACCTCACTGAACATCTCAAGCCCTCTTATCCCCAAAGGAGCCAGCTCTGACCTCTGACTCCAGCATGTGCTCCTTTTTCTGTTTCTTGAGACAGAGTCTCATAAAGCCCAAGCTGTCCTGGAACTGGATATGTAGCTAACTAAGGCTGTCTCCTGTCTCCTGTGTCCTCTTTCTGAGTGCAGATCCTCAATCTGTGGGTCATGACCCCTTTGGGGGTTGAACAACCCTTTCACAGAGGTCACATATCAGATATCCTGCTTGCCAAATATTTATGTTACCATCCAGTACAGTAGCAAAATTACAGTTATGAAGTAAAAATGAGAATAATTTTATGGTTGGGGCTCCAATATGGGGAGCTGTATTAAAGGTCACAGCACCAGGAAAGTCGAGAACCATGGGATATAGGTGCGCACCATACCCTCCAAAACTCCTTTAAGGTCCAGATCTCAATTTATTACTTCCAAAATTCAGCCCCAGAACTTTGGCTTCCACCCAAAGTTCAGCCCTTGTCCGAAGACTTACCCCTCCAGCCAATTCTACACTACTTGAAGGCTGTTTCCACACTGAGAGCTGATCCTGCCCTGCCCTGCTCACAGCCCTCCAAACTATAGTCCCACTACTCAACCCTTCTCACTCTGTAACATCCACGTAGAAAGTCCCTGAACCTCTCCACTCTATCCAGTAGACTCACATGGGCTCCTTCTATGCCTAACTTAGGGCTTGTCTCACTGCAGTGTGAGGTCATCAGCCTTTCACAGATTTGTGCTGGTAGGAACCACTATTCTCAAAGTGGGATCAAGCTTGAGGCAGAGTCCAAGTCAAGGCTCTGCTGCTTACTAGCTGATAAATTCATCCAGTTCTTCATCCTCTGTGTCTCATATTGCCAGAAAAGTGTCTTCTGTTGCAGTGTGGTTTTAGGCCGACGTCACAGAAAGCAGGTGCACAGATTGGGGGGACTTACCAGGGCAGTGCTGTATTGCTTATTTAGGAATTCTAAAGCAAAAACTAGATGGAGCATCCTATGCTTATAATTCCAGAACTTCGGAGGCTGAGGCAGGAAGATGACTGTGAGCTCAGGGTCAGCCAGGGCTGCTTGTGAAATCCTGTGACGTAAGAAAGCAAATGTTGGCACTTTAATTCTGTAATCAGTACTGCATCTTTGTTTTGTCTTTGCACGTTTTCCTGTATATTTTGACTATTTCAAACATTTATTTTTAAAAAGTGCATTGAGGAGGAGGGAGCTGGAGAGATGGCTTGCCAGCTAAGACTGCCTGCCGCTCTTGCAGAGAACATGAACTTGGTGCCCAGCGCCCGGCTCACAACCTGTTAACTCTAGCTCCAAGCAATCCAGTGCGCTCCCTTCCTCTGCCTTACACACGCACATGCGCACACACAGCATAGACTTGTACAAACATGGGTAATTAAAAATCTTTTTAAAACGGGGGCCAGGCCAGGCGGTGGTGGCGCATGCCTTTAATCCCAGCACTTGGGAGGCAGAGGCAGGAGGATTTCTGAGTTCCAGGACAGCCAGGGCTACACAGAGAAACCCTGTCTCAAAAAACCAAAAAAATATAAAAATAAAAATAAAAAATAAAACGGGGGCCAGAATGTCAGGCAATAGTGGTGCACACCTATGATTCCAGCACTCAAGAGACAGAGGCAGGTGGTTCTATAAGTTTGAGGCCAGCCTGGTCTACAGAGTGAATTCCAGGACAGACAAAACAGAGAATTCCTGTCTTTATAAACAAAAAATAAAACAAATAAACAGTAATGGGGACTGGAGAGATGGCTCAGCTGTTGAGAGCACTGACTGCTCTTCCAGAGGTACCAGGTTCAATTTCCAGTACCCATAGAGTAGCCCATAAACCATCTGTAACTCCTGTCCCCCCATGGACACTGCAAGTGTGTAGTTAGTGCACAGACATACATGTAGACAAAATACCCATATATATTGAATAAATTTAAAATATAAGAAATGAGTCAGGTGGTGAGGTGGTGGCACATGCTTTTATTCCTAACATTCAAGAGGCAGAGGCAAGCAGATCTCTGAGTTCTTGGCCAGCCTGGTCTACAAAGAGAGTTCTAGGACACCCAGGGCTACACAAAGAAACCCTGTCTCAAAAAAAAAAAATGTTTTAAAAGAAATTTTTAAATGAATTGGAGCTGAACACAGAGTACAGCGTTTGGGTGGAGTTTTGGGTTTGTGAGCCAGGAAGGGAGAGGAGGGGGGACACAGAAGAGCCAGGAAAGCAGGGTGTGGGGTACCTCTTATTAGCTTTCATGCCCTGAGTAAGAGTGATGGCAGGAAAGTCTGGAGCAAAGCAAGGATGAGTGGACAGAGATTAAGTTAGCGAGAGAGCTTCAGAGGCCACAGTGACGGGCAAGGACTGTCCTGGGGAACTGGGAGCCTTGAGGATCCATGGTCAAGAAGAGCAGGGAGGAGACTGGGGTGGCAGTAGGGAAAGGATGAGGCCAAAGGCAGAGACAGGGCTCCGAGGCTGGGACAGGAAGGGCAGCTGCAGAATGGCCTGTTCCCAGGGTGTCCAACCAAAGGGAAGGACATCTTGGAGGGGCACTGAGGTCTACCCTGTCTGTTGTGGTTCACAGGTCTTTTCCCTGGTCATCTTTTCCTCTCTACTAACTGATGGTTACCAGAACAGAACAGAGTCTCCTCAGCTCCGCTGCATCCTCAACAGCAACCATGTGGCCTGTAGCTTTGCAGTAGGAGCTGGCTTCCTGTCCTTTCTCAGCTGCTTGGTCTTCCTTGCTGTAGATGCTCATGAGAGCCGCATCGTAGGCACCCGCTTTAAGACAGCCTTCCAGCTCTTGGACTTCATTCTGGCTGGTGAGTTCCAAGGGACCATGCAGAGCTCTGTTCCTCTCAGGCTCCTCCCCAGCGCCTACAGCTCACAGTCCTGGGCCATCCACAAAACCTATGCCTGATGGTCCTCCCACTGTGAGAGTCTGACTATATGGCTCCTCCCAGAGGCATCTGCTAGTCCTTGTCCCTTCCAGTCCCCTCTGCCTCTAGCCAAAGTGGCTTTCCCCTCACATTCACCTCCACAGCCCATTACACATAGCCTGAAAAGCCCACTGTGTGGCTTTTGATGGAATTTGATGAAGGGCCCTCAGTGAAAGCTAGAATGAAGACTGCCCTGCAGGGATTCTGAGTGTGAACTGAGTTCCGGGTGCCTGTAGTCACATGGACACCGGCTGGGCACTTCCCAGGGTTAGGCACAGATCAAGTTATGTGCCTCCTCTCCTCAGCTCTGAGAAGAGCCCTAGGGGTAAGTCCTGCCCATCTTCTCATTCCATAAGAAAAACTGAGGCAGAGGTGGTCACGTGACTGAGCCGCTGCTTTCTTGAGAATGGCAATCCTATGTTTCAGAGCACAGCACAGCCTCCATAACCATGCCCCACTGTCTAGAAAGCTTGGCATATAGAAAGCACTAAGCCCATTCTTAATTTTTTTAATTAATTTTTTTAATTTTTTAATTTTTTTAAGATTTATTTATTTTATGTATGAGTGCTCTGTCTGCATATACACCTGCATACCAGAAGAGGGCATCAGGTCCCATTATAGATGATTGTGAGCCACACTATGTGGTTGCTGGGAATTGAACTCAGGACAGAAGAGCAGCCAGTGTTTTTGTTTGTTTGTTTGTTTGAGACAGGGTTTCTCTGTGTAGCCCTGGCTGTCCTGGAACTCACTCTGTAGACCAGGCTGGCCTCGAACTCAGAAATCCGCCTTCCTCTGCCTCCCAAGTGCTGGGATTAAAGGCGTGCGCCACCACTGCCCTGCCAGCAGTCAGTGTTCTTAACCACAGAGCCATCTCTCCAGACCTCTAAGACCATTCTTTATACCCAGGCCCTCAGGCCCTCTTCACACTGCCTCTCTGCCCCTCCCAGGAGCCACTCCTAGCACAGAAGGCCAGAGGCTGCTTGTGTCAGAGAACCTCTGCAGTGGGAGCCTGCTGTCCTCTGGGTGCAGGGCCCCTCACACACAGCTCCTGAGCACATCAGACGCGGCTGGCCCACAGGGAACTGGGTTCCGCTCTGATATGATTGTGATGCTGAAGAAGTTGAGGCTGAGTGGGTGTTGCCATATTAGATATGGGGGCTCCACTCCAAAAGTTGGGTTTTGGGGATTTGGGTTAGCACCACGGTGTGTCCCAGGACTCTCCAGCCCACCCCAGCACAGCTCGCCCCTGCTCCAGCATGCTCTTCCAGGTCTCTTCTTTCCTTACCCCTCCAGTCCTCTGGGCAGGTGTCTGGTTTGTGGCCTTCTGCTTCCTAGCCAGCCAGTGGGAGCATTCGAAGTCCAAGCACTTCCTCGTGGGGAACAGCAGCGCCAAGGCAGCCATTGCCTTTTCTTTCTTCTCCGTCCCAGTCTGGGTGAGGACAAGCCGTGGCCCCACTCCAGGGTGGGCTGGGAGGGCTGTACATCTAGTAACTAGGGCCAGGACTCTCCCCAGGCCTCTGCTGCCATCTCTAAGCCTGCCTTCCTCAGGCATCCCCATCCTGGGCACCTCTGGGCAGTGAGCAGACAGTAATCCACTGCATCCTCCAGCCTGGCCTGGGGGCCTCCCTTCCCATCCTAGCCAACTTAAATCCTGCCCTTTCCTGCCCACAGATACTCCAGGCCTACCTAGCCTTCCAGGACCTCCGAGACGAGGCTCCAGTCCCCTACAAGCGCTCCCTGGAGGAGGGTAGTGTGGTGCTGAACACCCTCTCCCCATCATCCACCACTAGCCCCGCTAACCCTCCCATCACAGGCCCCAACAGTCTGAGTTACACCAGCTCAGCCCTGTCCCCCTACACGACTACTCCAAAGGCCCCACGCCTGGTTATGATGCCAGACAGCTAAACAGCCTATACACATGAGTAAATAGCCCCTCTGCGGGGTTTCTGAACAACCCTGTCCTGTCTGTTCCTCTCTCATCCCTTGAGTGGCAGGAGAAGGAGGGAGACCATTGCAACAGGTACGTTTCTGTGCTACCCCCAAGCACCATTACCCTGCTGAGATGTTCCCTGCCATGTTCCCTGCACCTTGAGCCCACATTGGTCTTGAAGAGGAGGCACAAGGGCACAATGAGATCATGCTACAGCTGAGGCTGAGACTGAGGGAGAAAAGGCATTCTCCTCAGAGTACCAGTGAGAAAGCGTACAGCACTGGCGCAGCAGTCCAAGCTCTTTACCCCAGAGATGAAGGCAGTCAATAGCAATGTGTGTAAAGGCTGAGTCAGGGCATGGAGTCCATAAGTGAGACGGATGCAGGAGAGACCTGGGTCTTCAGACACATTAAAGGCTATCCTGGGAAACAGGCAAGTGTTTCTACTCTAGACACCCCCCGCCAGGGTCACCAGGCCATAGACCTGCTAGGAGGGATCAGGCAGGTGACACCTTGTACCAGAGAGATGACCTTTACCTACCAGCCAGCCATGGGGTTGAGGACACAGAAACGATCTCAAGGCTTCATTGAGAAAAGAAAACAAGTTAATTTTTAAGATATTTCATTTAACTTAATATATCCAATGTGTTACTGTTTCAATGAATAATCAATATGAAAATTCAACTTTCCTTTTTTTCTTTGTAAAACAAGATCTCATTGTGTAGCTCAGACTGGCCTGGAACTTACTAGCCCCAGCCTCAATACTGGGATTACAGGCAGGTGCCACCATTCCAGCTGAAACTGGAAGTTGCCACGCAGCATTTACATCCATTTAAGCTAAGTATTAAAACTCACGGTGCGCCTCACCTCACAACACGGCTCACTTTGGGCGGCCATGTCAAGTGTCATGGATGAACAGCCGACTGGAAGTACCTCTCTTGATCCTTCTAAAACAACTAAACATCTTTTTTGTTGTTTTTGAACTTGGTTTGGTTTTTGTATGTGAAATCAGTGGGTGACAGACTTTTTTAAAGTAGAGAGTGAGGGCTGTAACTCTGTTGGTAGAGTCCTTGCTCAGCATGCACAGGTCCCTGGGTCCATCTAATCTCTAGCATCACATAAACCAGATTCGGTCATGCACATCTATAGTCCAGTCTCTCTGGACAGAGGCAGGAGGACCATAAGTTCAAGTTCAAGACATAGGGATTGGAGGCCAGCCTAGGATCCATGAGACCCTGACACACACACAGTCAAACCTGCACAAGGGTTGGCAGGACCTGCAGAGCGGTTATAAACTAGACAGAGATACAGGATAAGAGGTCAGATTTAGGCTCCAGCATGTCCTTTGTGAGGGCTTCCTATGTCAGGCACAGAAACCACACAGCATTGGCCCAAGATTGGAGAAGATAGGGGAGTGACAGAGGCCCTGTGCCCTGGGAAATGGGCCTGAGTCTTCTATGCCGCCAGGAGTGGAAGGTCTTCAATGTTTAATGTGGTTTCTGCTAGATGGATTGGTTCTTAAACCATATTCAGCCAGGTGGTGGTGGCGCACGCCTTTAATCCCAGCACTTGGGAGGCAGAGGCAGGAGGATTTCTGAGTTTGAGGCTAGCCTGGTCTACCGAGTGAGTTCCAGGACAGCCAGGGCTACTCAGAGAAACCCTGTCTCGGAAAAAAAAAAAATATTCAAAGAGGCATCTCAGGGACAAGCAGTCAGGGACCTTCCAACATCATGCACTTGTGTTCTACCAGACTTTTTGGGTAAAACTTCTAAACAGAAGGACCACTAAAACACCACACACAAGGTAGTTAAACACCAGGGCTCTAGAGCCGGAAGTCCAGGAGCAAGCCTCACCCCCATCTTTGCAGCTTATCCTCCTCTGCCTCACTTTTCTCATTTATGAAGTGGGGCTGAGGGCCAAGTGAGAGCATCCGTGTGCTGTGGAGGCATAGCACGTCCTCCGGAAAAGTCAGGCCCAGTCCCCGAGCTTGTCCAAAGAACTGGAATCAGATACAGCTAAGAACTGGGAAGTTCTCAAAGGACAAATAGAAGTTGGGACCAAGGATCAAAATCCAGATGCTGGCTGGGGCAGAGCTCAATGAAGGACCCCTTGCCTAGGATGCATACAAGTCCCAGAATTTCATCCTCAGCACTGTAACAAACGAAAAACTCTCCTGACACTGACAAGAGCCAGGCAGAGAGAGGAAGTCGGAAAGCGCCAGGCATGGAGCCCATCATTTGTAGTTTTTTTTGTTTTTAGTTTTGGTTTTTTGTTTGTTTGTTTGGTTGGTTTTGTTCTGTTTCGGTTTTTTGAGACAGTGTATGTGTGTGTGTAGCCCTGGCTGTTCTGGAACTCACTTTGTAGACCAGGCTGGCTCTAGAGATCTGCCTGCCTCTGCCTCTCGAGTGCACGCTCAGCTTTCATTTGCTTTTTAACTCTATAAACAAAATCACACTCAGTATCAGCCCAATAATAAACATTAACAGCTCAAGGGCAAGAACTAGCAACGTGGCGAATGCAGGTGTCCCATCGACTCAGCCTCAACCCTCTGCTGCCGTCTGAATGACAGCCACCACTGCTGAACTGTCTGACTTCTTTTAAAGGGGACAGAAATCCAGACTGTAGTATAAAGATCTAGTTTTCAAAAGTTAGCAACCTTTTGTTTCATTTTTATTAGACAGTATCAAAATGCCAGGTTTGGAGTATGGCTGGATAGGTGTCCCAGCCGTTAAGAGCACTCACTGGCTGTTCTTGCAGAGGACCTGAGTTCAATTCCCAGCACCTACATAGCAGCTCACAACTATCTTAACTTCAGTTCCTGGGAATCTGACACCCATTCCTGGCCTCTGCAGGCACCAGGCATACAAATACTATACATACATACTCATACACATAAAACAATTTTTTGTAAATGCCAACTGGGGAATGGATGGGGGCTGTCCCATCCACGGGCTAGGATATGCACTGGTCTTCAAGGTCCCCTGTGGTAGTTAGGTCTGGACAGTCATCAGATAAGTTTCTATACTAAACAAAGAATCCGATTTTCCCAACCTCTTCCCTGCAGACCCCCAAGGCATCAGCGTCTACGAGAGAGCCCTGGGACCCATTTCTCACTTTCCTGCTCCATCCAGATTGTTGACTACCCCTAGAAGGTCCATGATGCAAAAGTAGAACAGGCCCAGAACAAACCAAAACAGGCAGGGAATAGCAACAAGAAGGACAGTTTTTCTTGGTTTATTTCAAGAGAACAAAGAATCAGCCATCAAATTCTGTACAAAAACATGGTGTTAGAGTGTAGTCTGGGTCACCACCTGGGTCAGCCAACCTCTTTCCCTTGCCTAAACCCATAGCTTCCCCTAATTTATCAAAAACGGAACAACCCTACCCTACCCTCCCCCACACACAAAAAGCTAACAAATTCTGGGGGTGAAAAATTATGAGACCCTCCTTAACTTTCTTCTTACCACCAGTTCAGGATCTTGTAGGGAGCATCGTGGTCACAGCCAAGGTGGGCAGGCAGACATTGGCAGACGTAGTGTTTGGCAACCATGGGGCTGGGGCGGGATCTTGGAGAAGGGAGTCAGCCTCCCCTGGCCCTGATCCAGAGAACACTCGAAACACAGTTTATAAAAAATCAGGGCCAGGTAGAAGAGAAAAAAGTCATCAGAATCAAAAACTAAATAGTGGAAAGATTTGTTTTTTGTTTTTCTTCTCTAAAAGGCAAAAGGCTACAAACAGCTCAGGTCCTGAACTCCCCAGGAGAGGGGTCTTCCATGGACCCCAAAACCCAGCTGGAGGGGTGGAGAACCAGGAGAGGTGAGCTCTTTACAAAGTCAACTCTGAATAAGAAGGCTCTTGGTCTCCAGCAGCCTTCCTCTGCCTCCTGCCCTGCCTCGGAGAAGGCTGGTGAGGCCAGGGTTATGCCGGCAAGCTCAGCTTCTTCCCCTTTAGGACTGTGGAGAGAGAGACAAGGTGGGCCTTACCTTCCACCCTACAGAGGGGCACCTCCCACCCTGAGCAAGGTCCGCTGTACAAGGAGAGGGAACCCCCAGAACTCTGCATCCTGAACTACTAGGTTGAGTCTAGATCAACCAGGGGTGGAACTAGAATCATGACTCTGTCATAAGGCTTGAGCAGAGGAGGCCTCGAGCATGCTTTGTTTTCAGTAGTGGTAACTAGAAACCTGGATCACTACAGAAAGGGGCAGACAGACTAGCAGGGTTGACTAGACAATAACCATCTACCCCTTTCAACATTCCAAGCCTTCATTCTTGGGCCCGAGAACAACCTGACCTCCAAGCTCTTGTCTTGATTGTCCCAGACTCTATGTTTTTGTGATGCTTAGGCTAGCCTGAAGCTCAACACAATCCTGCATTAGGTTCCAAGGGATAACAGACGTGGCCTTATTGCCTCTTTCCTTCACATACTGATTCCTGGTCTTTAGATTTTTGCTTAAACATCACTTTAAGATGCCCACAGGCCCTGGTTAAGGCAGGGCCCACCTTGTAACTCATCACTCCAAGAATGCATGCCTGCCTTCACCCAGTCAGTGATCCTTTCATGGCTAGAGCCTTCCCATACGATTCATGTGCCATCTTCCTCAGTAGGATCTCAGGAGGAGAGGGCCTCAACTACCTTTTCCACTACAGCTGAGCCCTAGACACAAAACATACTCAAAAGTTCATACAGTGATGATTAATGAACCTCACTGAGCAAGAGTCCCTGCTTTGCCTGTTCTCCACTTGTGGTAACTCAGCCTGAGAATCAAAACTGGAGCCTCAGAGCGGCAGGGTTTGGCGTCTACATGGGGATGGTGGAACCCCAGAAGCCCCATCCCAGAAGTAATATTTAGGAATAAACAGACCCCGGGGCCCATGGAATACAGGAATGGGGAGAGAGCAGACCGCTTTCAGCCAGCCCTGCATCCCAGCTACCTTTGGTGATATAGAGGTAGAAGAAATCGCAGTAGAGGACGGTCTGGACCAGGCCAGCAACAATGGCGATGAGGTCAAAGAAGCCCTCGAAGTGGTAGCGCCAGATCCAGTTGAAGAGATAGAGTGTACGGTAGACACCCAGTGCAAACAGGTAATGGCTGGTGATGGTCTCTGCCTCACCCGTCTTGCTCACCATGAACAACTGTGGCAAGATAGCCACTGACTCCAGGTAGATGGAGAAAGTCCAGAGGATCTGCAGAGGTAAGGGACAGGACGAGGCACTGTCAGCAGCATCACAGGACAAGCACTATGATGTGCCCACATCACCAGGCCATCCTTCTGTTCTCACCTCAGCCCCCTGACTAAAGCCTGGGACAATCAGACCCTTCCCCACGACCACAGCGTGAGAAACAGCAGAGCTGGAGGCGACTGGAGCTCAAGCTCCTGCGCATTTCTCATCAACCTCTCCCAAGAGAGAAGGCACCAGCTCGATCCCCTCTCCCCATCTCTATGGTCTCACTCAGCCTGGTCTCGAGTGAGACAGCCAAGGCTACAGAGAAACATCCTCCTCCCAAAAAACATACTGTCATCCCCTTGCTTAAAATTCCTTGGTGGCTTGTTACTACTCAGAATAAAATCTAGACTCCAGACCTTTCTCTCTCTTCCCTCCCTCTCTGGGCAGCACAGACCAAGTTTCCTCCTGCCACAGGGCCTTTGCACTTGCCCTACCCCAACATATCATCCCACTGA